AAGATCCCTTAGACTGTCTTGGCCTCCTAGCTGGCACCCACATTCAGAGGGCTTGGTTTGGTCCAATGCTGTTTCCCCAGCTTTATGACATGGGTCTCCATGCTATCAGTAGGTAAGGTGTTTCTGCAGGTCTCTCCAGCCCTGTCTTGGCTCCTTTGCTCATCCCTCCTCCCTCTCCACAACTGAATTCCAGTAGTGTGGTTCAGTGCTTAGCTGTGGGTGTCTGTTTCTGCTTGGAACAGCAACAGGATGAAGGCTCTCCCTCTCCCTGCCCCCGGGCTCCCACTTTGGTCAGGGGTTGCTTCCTATTTTATCATCAGTAAATATTTATTTTGCATATCTACATACCTATATGTTTAACGACACCACAAAACTTGGCACAAAAAGGGGTAGAGAGTAAAACAATTTCAGAAACGCTGTTCTAAGAGAACTGAGGCAAGAACCAGGGGACGGTTTCTAAGTCAGAACAATTGCACTTGCTTTCTGCCCTCCCGCAGCAAGATTTGTAGCAGGGGACAGATATGTAAAAAGGAGATGCTGATGGGAATTATGTTGCTTGAGGAATTCGTTGTGTCACTGAATAGGCCATATTAACTGGTACTGGTCCCTAACACTATGCACTCCCAGCCTGAGACTGACTCACACAAGCTGCCAGTGATGCTGTGAAAGGATGATATAGGCATTCTGAGGAGACAACACTTAAGCTGGAATTGGAAGGGTGAAGGATCAGAGTGTGGCTGATGGGGCAGGTTAGGAAGATGGTGGTGGAACTGTGTATGGGAAGGTCCTGAGAAGAAAGAAAGTAGATGGATATGGATGGATGGATGGATGCATGGATGGATGGATTGATGGATGGATGGGTGGGTGGGTGGGTGGATGGGTGGCAAGACTTTTAGACCTTGAACATGATGGTGCAGAATCTGAGGGGTCATGACATTGTCCTTCCTCATGTGGCTTCAGCAAGTCAGTTAATAAGATATTTATGGTCCCCAGGGATTTGATTACTCTCTGAAAGCTCAAAGAAGAAAGACAAGCAGGTCTGCAAAATAAAATCAATAGAATAAAAATAGGTCCAGCTGGAGGGATTCCTCTGCCTGTGAGAGCTGGGCTTTGTAAAGGTCATGGTTGAGAGGAGGCATCATTGGCCAGTGTGGAAGGGAAAGGAGGAAAGGGGAACTGAGAGCTTTAGTCTTCATTTTGATTAAGGTGTGCTGGGATGGCTGGGACAAGTTGGTTTGTTTAGGCATGAGAACATTGTGAAGTCATGGGGGCTATTGGAAAGACAGTTCATGTGGTCCACAAAATCCTCTGCTATCTGGTTTTCAGGCCTTCTGTTTGACCTTGACACCCATGTTAGAGATCTGCTTTTTTTAGGAACAGTCCCTGACTTTCCCCTATCTCGATGGCACTTTTGTATAATCACAGGGGTCTCACATCAACTTATTTACGATGTCCATCCCCTAAAAGTAACTATTCCTTACATAGAGAACCCCCATCCTCTCCTTGAAGACACGGCTATTTTCCTCTTTCCTCCCAGGGTCTTGCACAATGTCTGTCAGTTAGCAGACTCTCAGTAAATAGTGTTGAATAATTGTCAGTCACCACCTGCCCGGTGTCACCCTGCTCCCCACTGTCCCACCCTTAGGAGCAGTGCCATAGGAAAATGCATCCCCACACACCAACAGGGCTACTCTCCTGTGTTCACAGCTGAAGAGAACACATATATCCTTCCCGGGCATCTCTAAATCTTCCCCTGGGGAACACAGCATGCGTTCTAGGGTGTTTTTCAGAGGGCAACTTGTCTAAGTAGAAAGCAATGTCAGACCCTGGGCTAGCTGGCAGATAGAGCTTTTGTGATCTCACCTGCTTGAGCCACACGTTTGTCGTCATCAGCTGATTCTTTTCATCCTAAGAAAAGGACAATTTAAAAGGTTGAATGTTACACAGTGTCTTCTGGACACAGCATGGTAGCTGCAAATATTAACGGAAAGCAGTTGCAATGATGTGCATAAACCTGTGCAAGCCCACATGCTATGTACTCACTCAGATGTGGACCTGCTGTATGATACATAGTAGTGACCGTGCTTTATCAGAGCTGTTTTTAATGATGTTTCTCAGAATGGTTTCCTTCCAGATGATGATTGAGAAGCTAATTTAAAAAAAAAAAAATGGTGCCAGGTACCACAAGAGTAACAGAACTGTGCTGTTTTCTGGGATTTTGTTTTTTACTTTTGTTGACTGTCAACTTTGGAAAAAAGTGTCCCAGTTTACCGTGTTGAGTTGGCATTGTACAGAAATTAACAGCCATATTGGTCTAGAAATGTTGAACTTAATTTTTTTCCATTTGTACAGGGGTAACACACTGTTTTTAAATTTGTAAGGTCTTATCTATGTGGGTTTGATTACAAAAACTAATAAAGTATTCTCAAAAAAAAAAAAACCTGTGCAAGCCCAAGATAATAAACCAAACCACAGTGTGGAGATGGAGGTTGGGCAGGAAATCCCACTCCAGCTGTGGAGTTTCTGGCCATTGTTAGTTTCTGGAGATGAAAAGACAGTTTTCTGTAAGAGGGTAGCCCTTGTTAAACCAACCACAATGCACACATCCAAGAATATTTAGGCAGCATAAATTGGTGTTGAAGGGTTTGCACTTAAAGGTATAGTGTTGGGTGAGCAGGGGGGAGCTGAACCTGAGAAGAGATGGGACCATTATCAAAGCAAGTTGTATGAAACTCTCAAAGAACTAAGCAAGGATTTGAATGGTTGGCAGTTAAAAAGGATGAAAGCGGAGGGTTTCAATATTTTGGATTTTTCTTAGGGAAAATCCTGAGTCTTATTTTGGAAGTGCTCCAACCCCAAAAGATCAAATATTCCAAACTTAAGAACAGGTCAGTAATATGTGGCCCTAAGGCATTCTGTATATTTTGCTCAAGTGAAACTACCTATTAGAACAAGCAAGAATTCATTGTGGAGATACCTTTATCAACTGAACAACTCAGTAGGCTTTTGATGGTGCCAAAGAAGGAAATCAGACCTGGACTTAAGACAAACTTGGATAATTTTCCAGAAGGCATACCCCAGCCTAGAGAGGCAAGAAGGTCAGGGAGGCTTACCCACATGGGAGAAGTTTTCTAGGGTTTTCAGGACCATCATAGAGTGAGCTCCTGCAATTGGGCAATTTGAGTCTACAACTTTCCCCACAAATATAAACATAACAGAAGTACAAGCCCAAGAGGAAAGTGAGCAGAGATGCTGGCATGAGAGTGAGTTCAGAAAATGTGAGTCACTTGGGGACTGTAAGAGGGCCTCGTCATCACCACTTTGTCTTCCTCTAGATGTAGGAGCCCTAACAGCCCAGCTCATAGACAGCAGTGAGCTGGGATCTCACCTATCACCTGGGCCTTCATCTTCTCTTCTCCACTACTTGCAACAAGGGGCCAGTTTTCTTCTTGTTCCCCTCTCCACATTCTGCCCAACAGTCCTACAATGCTGGCAGGGGATGACCTGCCTTTCCTTCCTCAGGACATTTCACTGGATCATATTTGTAAAATGCCAGTGTCAGGAACAGGGACAGGTAGATGCCTGGAGTCACAACAGTTAAGGACTGTGTGTTGTTTTCAACTCAGGGTGGAAGATGACTCACCACATCCACGAGCTGAGATATTTTCAATCCAAAATACACTTTGATGGTGTCGCTGGAATTCAACACAGGGCGGACCCATTTCTGATACCCTTGGAACAAATGTCTGAGGAGGGCATCTTCATGTTGGGCTATGGAGCTGAGTCCTTCAGTGGCTGTAAGAGTCACCGGGGAACCTGAATTTAGAGAGCAGTGGATCAGCTGGTTCAGCATCCTGCACCCGGAGCCTTCATCTGTTTCCCATCCGCTGACTCAGCAGAGACACTGAGTGAGGTACTCTAGACCCCACTCTCTACCTGCACCCTATTTCCCTGTACCACACTGGAAAAACCAGAATCTATGCTTTTTCAGAGACTTCTCATCACTGTGTACACACATGGGTCCCAGAAGTGTCACCTGGAGCTTCTCACCTTACCCTCTTCCACTTTAGTTCTCACTGCAAATGCCACCTTCTTATAGACATGTACATTGCCCACATACTGGCTCCTTCTTGGCACCTTGAATCTATCTTTTACCTTGTCAGTTGGTTGTATATGTATGTTGTTATTGTGATATATATATATATATATATATATATATATATATATATTTTATACACCCAGCTCCCAAGTATATATTTTGTATAAATACACATATATACAAAATGTATTGTTTTTGTGATATATATATATATATATATATATATATATATATATTGTATACCCAGGTTGCCCTTGTATATATGTTGTATAAATACACATATGTACAATCACATTATGGGTACATATTATTGTACACATGTGTGTTCACCTTCATATGTGTGTTGTGTGTGTGTAGTTTTATAATGTGTGTGTTGCCTTTGTATGTGTGTGATATATGTACAGTTTTATAACATGTTGTGTGCATATTTACATGTTCTCATTATTTCCCCTCAGACTTGAAGTTGACAGGCACAGACAGTATCTGTTACATGTAACAATACTCCACAATCAGAACAGGGCCTGGCCCACAAAAGGCACTCCTTTTTTATATTTAACTTCTTTATTGACTCTGGGAATTTCCCATCATTCACCCCAATTCTTCTCACTTCCTGCCCCCTCCAGATCCTCCCCTCATCCCTGCTGCGCCACCCACGAAAGGAAATAAATCAAAGTAAGCAAGCAAACAAAAACAAAAACAAAAAACTCAAAACAAACACCACAACAGAAAATCCCTTTCTCTCCTGCCTCTCCAACACCTCTTCATTTGTCCTGGTGGCGTTGGAGGCTTCAGTGTGTGTGCCATGCAGCACACCTCTTGGTCCATCAGTTTCACTGCAGGCACTCATCTTTCACACAGAATAAATGAAACATAGAAAGGATTATATCTTTACTAAGCACCCGGTATATTCCTTTGTCTATTTTCTTGTGTTCTTCCCAATGGCATCTTCTGTGAGAAGTCCTTCCCTTGTCATCTCTCAGGAAGAGCTTTTATAAACTCCCAAATATGTAAGTCCCTGAAAATGACCCTGACTTAAAATTGGAGCCTCAAGTTGGAGCAGTGACAAAGACAAGCAATCCAAGGAGTCTTCTTTATATTCAGGCATGTGCTGGAAAACGTGAAGCAATGTCGTCTCTAATTACTGTTTTCAACCTTTCTGTGAATGTTCAGTATCCTGTTGATAGCCCAAAAGAACAAAACCTATAGAATTTTTCTTTACCCAAGAAGACCCCCTGATCCCACAGAGACACACACAATGGGCAACAATCAAGCAAAACGCTCCTACCAAGTTTACTAAGCCAAGTCCAGAGATTACCAGTTGGATGAAAGGCAAGAGGATAACATCCCTTTGTGTATACAAGGTATCCACAAGAAGTTCCCTAAATGAGGAGCAATTCCAGGTGCACACATAACTCTCCTAGGGTGGCTGAGGCTGGGATAAGATGGGCTGAATATGGACATCAGTATAGAAGGTTCTCAAAAGACTAAAATTAGAACTACTATATTCTTCAACTTCATGCCTCCTGGGCGTATATGCAAAGAACTCTACATACTACGTAAGAGATATCATGTTCATTGCTGCCTTATTCACAATGGCAAGGAAATGCAATCTGCCTAGATATCCATCAACTAATGAATGGATAATGAAAATGTGGTACACAATGGAATGTTTCTCAACTGTAAAATATGAAATTCAAAGGAAAATGGATGGAACTGGAAGATACATTGAGGTAAACAAGGCCCAGAAAGACAAGCACAACATGTTCTCTCCTTCGTATATGGATTCCAGCTTCAAATATTTAGATTTGGGTATTGACTTTGGACTTTCTACAGAAGTTGGGAAACTAGAAAGGACCAATGAGAAGGGGAGAAGTGGTCTCAAGGCAGAGGGGATGAAAAGGTTTAAGCAGGGATGGAGGCAGGGGATAGGAAAGAAAAGGGGCATAAGGAGAAAGTTAACCAAAACTACGAATGTGTGAAAAGCCTTATGACTTTATAAGCTAATTAAAAATACAATTTTTAAAATGAATTTGAACAAAGATTCCTTGTATGGATAAATAATGTTTCTCCCAAAAGTCATGGGTCATTAAATGAAAATCCTAGTATCAGGCAGGTAATACCTCCCTATGAGTTGGTCAAGAGGGCTCCAGAAAGCCCCTTTGTGGTTAGTTTTTTGTCAGCTTGACATAAACTAGAGTCATCTAAGATGAGAAGAGGAAATCTCAATTGAGACAATATCTCCATCTGAATGATCTGTGGGCAATTTTGTGAGGGCATTTTTTATATTAATGACTGATGTTGGAGGAGCCAGCCTCCAACAGCACAGAGCTTTGACAGAAATCCACTGAGTCAATGAGGCTAAACTTTTCTATCTAAGGGGGGTTAGGGTAAAGGGCACCCACAAACTCTCTTGATGATTTCCTTCTTTATTCTTTTGTTTCTTTATTTTCTCTCTGTGTACTCTCATGTTTTTTCACAGCTTTTATACCCCAACAAAATCTTCCAGGCAGTACCAGAGTCAAAACAGTTGCATTTCATTTCTCATGTGAATGACTATAGGTAAAAACATGTTTTTAATCTCCCTCACAAGATTAGGCCTTTTTTTAAGATTAGATATTTTATGTATTGGGAGTGAAAAACAAATTATCCCAAGAACCCACGTACATTCATACCCAAGCAACTTGTTATAGATTAACCGTGTAGGCAAGCAAGATGTTCTTGTCAGGTCTTTTACTGGCAGTCTGCATTTTGCAGTTACAAACAAAGGTCCAATTACTCTATTACTTATCTTGAAAGGTAATCTTATAAGGAATCTTAAAGGAATCAAAAACCCAAACTTTCATATATGAAAAAGAATCAGTTATCTCTACTTTAAATCTTTAGGGTACAAAGCCATTCATTGATAATCTTTTTTATATCAGGAGATTGGGTATAAGGAATTGATCATCACCTTTAGTCATCAACCAAACCTAGCAAGAAGAGTACATCAGCCAGTAATAATTGAGCTGCTTTGTTCTTGTCCCTTGACCTTAAAGAGTTCCACATTCAACTATGCACCTTTCTAAAACTTTAGATTGTCTTCTTGGTTTTTTTTACCTCAAAGTTATTTAACAAAAACATCTTAGTCTAACTTTATTATTTTTAAAGCTTTGTTTCCGCTGTGATGCACTCTGAGACCTGAGAACACGTCTCCCGACATTAAGGTTAAATGAATTTAAACTTTCTGGGCTACTGGGACTCAGTTGTTAATCCTTAACTTGAGCTACAACCCATACACAGCCCCTTAGGTGAAACTCACAGACCCTGACTGTGAATCATATCATTACATTTATTTTTGTTCATCAAAAATCTGTAGAGGCTGCCATTATCAAATTAGACAGTACAGCTTAGGGGGGTGTCATCTTCTTGACAATCCACCAGTAAAAATGCCCAGTAGAACAGGATGTTTCCAAGAGATAAGCACACTATATTACAGGCAGTGGAGATCTCTACCCGTCCACTCACACCATGCTAGACACATGCAGCAACATGTAAAGGCACAGAAGAAGTAAAAGACATTCCAGGGTCTGCAGTCCTGTGGCCTTGCCTAAACGAGATTGGCCCATCAGAGGATTACCTTCTGGTGGGCTGACACCTGGAGCTTCAGTTGCAACTCACTGCTCCTCTGGCAGGACCACCAGCAAGACCTCATCCCACTGTGAGTGGCACCACCTCTGGGAAGGTGATCCTGGATTATATAACAAAGAGAATGACCAAGCCTTGGGGTGGGGGGGGGGTGGCAGGAAAGGCCAGTTAGCAGCATTTCCTCTGTGGTCTGTGCTTCAGTGCTTTCTTAGTTAAGGTTTCTATTGCTGTGAAGAGACACCATGACCATGACAACTCCAATAAAGGGAAATATTTAGTTGGGTGGTTTACAGTTTCAGAGGTTTAGTCCCTTATCATCACAGTTGGACATGGCAGCATGCAGGCAGACATGGTGCTGGAGAAGGAGCTGAGAGTGGAGAAGGAGCTACATCTTGATCCTGCAGGCAACGGAAAGTAAACTGAGACACTGAGCATAACTTGAGCATATATGAGACCTCAAAGCCCACAGCCACAAAGACACACTTTCTCAAACAAGGCCATACCTACTCCAACAAAGCCACACCTTCTAATAGTGCCATTCCCTATGAGTTTATGGAAGCCAATACATTCAAACTACCACAATTGCTTGCCTCATCAAGTCTCCAGTAATATCAGGGAAAATTGGACAAAAATAATGAAAGAGCAGAAAGATGAGAAGTGCCATGAAATTCTGTCTCCAGAGCCTGACACAGCTTTTGTACTCACAAACTGAAAGCAGATGTGGTTATTCACACAAAATCCAGCACATCAACCTCCGTGTGTGTGTGTGTGTGTGTGTGTGTGTGTGTGTGTGTGTG